ATAAAATCCCAGTTCGAGGTGGACAAATATTTTAATGATGTCGAAAACGACGTTTATGTACAGTTCTAGACAAAAAGTAATAAAAGTTAAATATGGCAAACATGTTTATGATAACTCACCTAGACAAAACAGGCACTGTAAAATAGGTATTTGAAACACTTATTAATTACTTAAAACCAAAAATTCTGCCAGCACTGAACTATACGCCTCGAAGGTTATACGTTTTTAATCCGAATTCAATACGGTGGAAACGACAAAAAAAACATATAAAAACAATAGCGGCAAAGCGCGCAGATATTAAATTTAAAACAATAGTTTTTGTTATGCTACATCTGCCCTCCTCTAAGTTTAGTGATAGATATCTGAGCTCAAACTGACGAATTATACGTTTTTAAATGAGAGGCGTGAAAGGTTCCTCTTTCCTTTTCGTTATTTACGTTTATTAGTACGTAGGTATCCTGACTTATCCGTTTTTTAATTCGGTAGGGTCCTTCGAACAATAACAATAGCTTTTTGGTTTCGGCTTTAATCGCAGAGGACACGTTGTTTGCTTTAAGTAAAACCAAAATACCTGGTTCAAAACGCGTATAAGGGCGGCCAGGGTGAAGAACGGCTCGCCTCTTAGCCTTACCTTGAAGGGTAGCCTCTGCTAAGACCAACCTTCTATCGTAAGGCAGTTCCTTACTTAAAGGATGGGTTAGTGCAGGGGGAAGCAGTTTTAAGCCTTGTTCTCCTAATTGCAATTCGTTTGGTGAAAACCCGGTCGACTCGTGTACGACTGAATTTAAGAAAGCTGTGAACTGCGGTACCATAAGAGCCCACTTCGAATGATTATCACTACAATAGGAACGAAATAAACGTCCAAGTTCCCGCATAACCCGCTCCGAAGGGTTTGCACATGCGTGCCGGACCGAGGAATAAACTAATTTTAGGTTCATGTTTTTAAGGGTTTCCTTCCAGATTTTGGAAGTAAACTGGGTCCCATTATCGTGCAAAATCCTTTTAACTACTCCATATTTAGCAAAATAGTCGTGTATTAAACGGTTCAGCATAGATTTAGCGGTTGCCTTTTTAAGGGAATATAAAGCAACATGTTTAGTAAACAAGTTCAAAATAACAAAAACATATGCAACTCCTCCGCGACTACGGACTAAAGGTCCAAACAAGTCCAAGCAATAATATCGTCTTTGGCGGTAGGGATAATTTGAAGCTGTGGTGGATTAGGCAAAGTAGATATCTTTGCTTTTTGGCAAATGTCACAAGTCTTTAGTTGTTTTTTTATAGAACGATGCATGTTGCGCCACCATAGCTCACGCCGAATTGCAATCCAAGTTTTATATACGCCATAATGGCCCAGACTTACGTGGTAGTTGGTTATAAAGTCTACCACCAAACATTCGGGAACACACAAAAAAAATGTGTCTCCATCAGGCCCTCGCTTATACAGGGTGTCGTTATAAATAATAAATTTTTCCTGTAAGTTATTTAGTTTTAATTCTGAAATTATGTGAGCTAACTTAGGGTCTTGGCGCTGTAACTGTGGAATATTTTTTATTCGTTTTTGAAATTCTGGAGGAAGTTTTAACGTTGAAGAAATTATAAAGCATTTATCCGAAGGAGTTGCATGTCTAACACATGCATGCCTACTTAGCGCATCTGCGATAATATTTTGCCGCCCTGGAATATACACCACATCGAAAGAATATTCCTGTAAGGCTAGAGCCCATCTGGTTATTCGTGGCGATAATAATCGGCAAGAGTTAATGTAGGTAAGTACGCGGTTATCGGTATATAACGTAAACCGGTGACCTAGAAGATAAATTTTCCAGTGCTGTATGGCCCAAAAAGCGGACAACACCTCTTTTTCATTTGAGTGGAACCGTCGTTCCCGGTCAATCAGGAGCCTGGAGGCCCAAGCGACGACGCGCCGGTTACCGTTCACCACTTGGAATAATTGTGCTCCTAAGCCCACTTCGCTGGCATCGGTAACCACATGCCATGAAAGTTGAGGGTCAGGGTGATACAAAAGAGTTTCCTCCCGCAACAAGGAATTAATTTCTCGAAAAGCCTTTTTCTGTGGTTCGTCCCAAACCCATGGAGAGCCTTTGCGGAGCAGCCTCGCTAAAGGTTCCGAAATACTCGCAAAATTTGGGGAAAAGCTGCGGTCATAATTACAAAGGCCTAAGAACTTTTGGAGCTGTTTGACGTTTTTAGGGGGAAGGTAGTCTACAATAGCCTGGACTCGCTGAGGATCTGGTTTAACACCGGTAGCACTAATAACGTACCCTAAAAACAGCATTTCCTGTTGGAAGAAACTACATTTAGAGAGTTTTACGGTTAAATTAGCCGTTTGAAGTCTCAAAAATATCTTTTTTAAATGGACACTATGTTCTTCGAAAGATTTGGACATAACAAGGAGATCATCTACATATGTTACTAAAAAATCATCGAAATCTTTTCCAAAAATGGTATCAATGGCTCTGGTAAAGGAACTAACAGCCGTAGATAGGCCAAAAGGCAAGACACAGAACTGGTAAGTTTTGGTTCCAACCATAAACCCAGTATATTTTTTGTCGCAGGGCCTAAGAGGAATTTGCCAGTACGATTGGGAAAGATCTATTTTAGAGAGAATTTTTTTACCGTTTAAAGATTTTATTATTTCGTCTACTCGTAAGGGCTTTTCGAAGTCAGGCTCCATAACCGAATTGAGATGCCGGCTGTCCAGACACACCCGAACAGATCCGTCTTTTTTTACCGTCGTCATAAGGGGGGAAATATAGGGCGTTGAGGCGCGCTCAATAACACCCCATTGTTCCATTTGAGCAATTGCTTTTTGCACTGCCTCCCTATGAGCTATAGGTATTGGATATGGCTTTATAAAAAACTCGGTATAGTCTTTGAGCTTAATATTATGGACATATTGGTTGGTACGACCTGGTATAGTAGAGAATATGGAAGCATAATCAAGTAACAGGAGCTTAAATTTTTTTTTATCAGTATCATCTAAACAACAAATTTTTAAAACATTATTTACATCAAACAAATTATTTTCGTCAACACCGCAGTCCTCTTTTTTGTCCCTAACTGATTTGTTTACTATAGCCGAAATATTTAAAGAACTCTGCTCCGGAAAATGTTGAGTATAATCAACTTCTGGTATAGTAAATAATTTACCATTTACTACGAATGATAAATTTTGATCAGCTAAGTTTATGTTTACGTTATGTTGCCTCAAAAAATCGACACCCAATATTACGGAATAACACAGGTCCGGAATAAGTAAGAATTCATGCGCGAAATTATGCTTATTTAAAGAAAAATCCATCAGGGCTTGTATATTTATTTTTCTAAATTTTGATTTAAATGCGCCTACGACCCTTATTCCGGTGCATGGAAAATGAGGAATTATGTCATAAAAACTCCCTGTATCAATTAAAGTTGGGAAATGATAACCATAAAAATTAATTAAAACAATTGGGCTACGACTTTCTAAAGGAGAATGCTCAAAATCGCAGTCTTCTAAGAGATCTTCTTTGGGGTTGTTATTAATTCTAATATTTTCGGCTCTACTTAATACGGCTCTCACATGTGAGCCTCCATGTGGGAGTCGCAATCGTTTTCCGAATTTTCAACTACTTCTAAATTGGAAATATTTTTATTTTGGAATTCTTTATTAAATTTATGTTTATTTACCGATTGGTTTTTAAAATGATGTGTATCATTTTTTATTTGGAAATGAGAATTACTTCCATTAAAATAATAATCCGCTTGCGCAAGTCTCTCCAACGCTTGGGCAAGACTGGAGGTACCGACTAAAACGGCCGAAATACTTGGAGGAAAGTGACGTGCGATTGTAGCTATAAGTTGTTCAGTAGTATAGGGAGGTTGTAAGTGTCGAGCTAACCCCACGTAATAATTAAAATGGTTTACGAGAGAACCATCACGATAACGTGCAGCTTCAAGTTTAAGTTTTGTTTTTAATTGTTTTGTCGCTCCCCAGTATTGCTCAATAAAGGCATTTTTAAATTCCGAATAATTACCGAACGTGTAAACAAAAGCATCGAACCACGTTTTAGCTGTTTTTTCAAATAACCTGGATGTTATAAGTGCGAATTTACTTATTGGCATATTGTATACGTCAAAGGTACTCTCTATATAATTAAGAAAAGCTAATGGGTGTAACTCTGATTCGTTGTCAAAGACTGGCAGAACCTTACTGGCTTTTAAATCTGTAAAAATGCTTGAATTATTATTGGACGAATTATTATTATTATGACCTAAATACGGTGCGTTTTGTATAGGGTGATTTACATTTGAACTAGAATATGCTAAACAACTAGGATTTATATAGTTATTGGGGTTGGTATTATTTATATTTGAATAAGGTAACCAAGAGTTAGGAAAATTATAATTATTATTACTATTAGGAAGATTATAATTATTATTACTATTAGGAAGATTATAATTATTATTACTATTCGGGTAAGCCGAATTATTAAAATATAAAGGATAATTATTTGACATGTTAGTTTCTTGCAAGGTATTATTAACTACTGTTTTTATAAGATCTATATAATCTGTGTTACAAAAAGCACTTTGAGAAGCAGATGTAAAAGTTGGTCCTGCAGTTTGTGTCGCAGTATTCCCTGCTGTTGCCGCTGTCATTGTGGTTTGACCCAAATGACCTTGAGTTGATGCGACGTGACCGTTTGTCGAAATATGGTCACTTCCAGATGACGATACCGGGGGAAGATTATTAGAAGGAATATTCCTACCTTGCTCAGCATCTCTCGCACCCTGTATTACCACTGTTGGGGGTTGGTGATCCTCGCCATGCTCCGTAAACACCCCTCTGGATCTTAGATTATGGATTGGTGTCCTGTTCATCCTGGATTTATTTTTACTAGCCTCTAGTTGGGAGCCAAGTTGTTGCGAAACGATTTTCTCAGGTATTTTTCCGTAAATAAAATCCCAGTTCGAGGTGGACAAATATTTTAATGATGTCGAAAACGACGTTTAGGTACAGTTCTAGACAAAAAGTAATAAAAGTTAAATATGGCAAACATGTTTATGATAACTCACCTAGACAAAACAGGCACTGTAAAATAGGTATTTGAAACACTTATTAATTACTTAAAACCAAAAATTCTGCCAGCACTGAACTATACGCCTCGAAGGTTATACGTTTTTAATCCGAATTCAATACGGTGGAAACGACAAAAAAAACATATAAAAACAATAGCGGCAAAGCGCGCAGATAATATCTGCGCGCTTTGCCGCTATTGTTTTTATATGTTTTTTTTGTCGTTTCCACCGTATTGAATTCGGATTAAAAACGTATAACCTTCGAGGCGTATAGTTCAGTGCTGGCAGAATTTTTGGTTTTAAGTAATTAATAAGTGTTTCAAATACCTATTTTACAGTGCCTGTTTTGTCTAGGTGAGTTATCAATATTAATATTATTAAATTTAAAACAATAGTTTTTGTTATGCTACAAACTTTGTGGTCAACATTACCACATCTCGCTTATCTTTCCACTTTTCAACAAATATTCCACTATTGCTTTCTTCTGAAATAACTTCGCCCCTCTTCAGTTTCTTATTGATTACATTTTTAGGATTGTTCTTTCTGTTAGTGCGTAGTGTGCCTAATATATATATGTTTTATTTTCTAACAATTCGTGAGCCAGCTCCACAGAAGTATAGTAATTATCTACACATATTGTTCGTCCTTTACCAAGCAAGTCCTTTGTCAAATCTGTCACTACTTTTGTTGGAACAGTTTGATTCTCAACATCATTTTTTTCTTGTCCGCAATAAACTTTTAGGTCATATAGATATCTAGACATAATTTGAATAATTTAATGCCAAACTTGTGGCGTTTATTGCTAATATACTGTTTAAATTTTAAACGCCCTTTAAAAGGTACTAGAGTTTTATCGATGCACAAAAATTCTGGTGGCACTATGGGCATTTGAAAATTTTTTTTTAGTTTCGATAAAAGAGGACTGATTTTATACAACCTGTCATTGCTTTCTTGTACAACTCCATTGAACTCCATTGAAATCGATTTCTTGACATTATCTAGGAAAGTTCATTTTTATATATGAAATTTTTTCCACATAATACATCCCAAAAACTTTTCCATTTCTTCTGGTGTTGTATCTTTCCAATTTTGCATGCGTGATTTACGACTACTTGTAGACTTTTGTTGTGCGGCATAACGGTTTGTTTTGATTGAAAATAATTCAAATATGTCGTCCGTTATTAAAATTTTATAAAAGCCATATGGAGTATTCTGATAATTATCATATAAAAAGTTACGGATTCCTGGATTTTCCTCTGAAAATGCAAAGTCTTTTAAATTTCTTCCGCTAATAGGTCCCCACTCAATTTGGGGAAAATTTTCTACATTACCTACCGTGTCATCATCAGATTCCATAAAAACTGTATATTGGGCAATGACTTCTTCAATAGTTCTCTCAATATGCTCACTTACATTTTTATCAGCCGGTTGTAAATTATCAGAAATAAAATTATGTTTTTCTGTCAAGTGCGTTTGTGCTGCTTCAGATGTTTGTTCAATTTCCTTTGTAGAGTGCTGAGAACTGGTAGATGGCATATCTAAATTTATAACTTTACGTATGACCTTTTTTTTATCAGGAAGTGTTTTAAATATTTTCTGACGTTTTTTAGGTGTAAGCGGATCGTCAGAACTATCTGAGTCTGTGTCGCTTGGTTCATATTCGGACACGTCGGGTGAAAAATCTGATTCTTCAGAAAGTGCGTCATTCCACAGTTTTTTCTGTTCCTTTTCATATGACATCTTTATTTATTTATAGAAATACGCCCACACTAAACAACCTCAAACTATACACAAAACCCCTTCAATAAATTATTACAACTGTAAACCATCGATGTGTAGTGGACATGCGCGGCCGACATCACCCGATTATTATTACACTCCAATAAGCAACAATTAAAGCGATCAGGTGATGTCGGCCGCGCATGAACCGCGGCGACAGTCACTGTGGCCGCGGTGGGTTAACGCTGTCCACCACGTTTTTTTATGTTTTTTTCTACAATTAAATTTATTTCGAAGTAACTGGTGATGATATGTTGTTTGTATGATAATTTTCAATGAATTTCAATAAAAAAATTAAGTGGCCAGTATGAACCGTCAATTTACCTTTCCATGGCGGCACTCTACGTGTTAATCAAGACTTACTTAATAGACTTTGTTTAATATAAAAAAAATTAAGTAATGGATCACCAATTAAAAAAAAAGAAAAAAATACAAGTTGTATAAAGAAAATCCAGATTTACCGGTAAGTTATTACTTACTATAGTTAAATTATACATTTTTATAAAAATTAATAATTTAATTTATACTTTTTTGTAAAAATAACTAAGTGTTTTTGTAGGTTCCACTTAGAACATTAAATAGACAGGCTGCAAAGAGATCTAGATCAGCTGCAGCTGATGATAATACAATTGTATTAAAGCAAGAATCTAGCGCATTTATTTTTGAAAACAGAATCAATTATGAAGAAGTTAGTAAAAGCAGTACGGATACAGACACCAGTGATGATAATAATGATGAAGAATCTAGTAAAAGCAGGAACGATACAGACACCAGTGATGATGATAATGATGAACGGAGAAGTGGTGATAGTTGCAATGAGCAAATAATTGATGATTGTCATAGCAATTTGATATTTTATTCAATACCAGTTTTGAACAGTTATTTAGAGGAAAAATACTTTCAACATCTGATGCTTTTGGTTATAGGACTATTTGATTTACTGCAGGATAAAATTTTAATACAACCAGATCTACAATGCGCTGAAAAATTGCTAGACTTATTTGTAGAACAAGCTCCTAAACTTTATGGTGACAGGGTGATGACATATAACTTTCACCTGGTGCGACATCTTGTCCTTTTTGTGAGACGATGTGTGAGATCAATTTCAGCTTTTCCATGGGAAAACCAAAATGGATACATTGCGTTCATGGAAACAAAAATATGGGCCAAGAAATCGTGAATAATTTGAAAATAGTCCAGGGTGTGCAAATTTTAAAGAGTCAAATTAAACAAAATAATTTAGCTCGTAGACAAGATCTCAAGAATTACACATTGTTAGGAAGAATGATTGTTATCGAAATCTAAGAAGATGAACGGCAATTGATTACATCCAAGGGATTTAACTGTAAAAATTTAAAAATGTATGCTCGAGCCAAAATAAATAATGAAATTTACACATCAACTCTTAACAAAGTGATTAAAACAAACAGTTTTACTGTAAAAATAATAATCAATCATGGTTGTATTTATGGAATGATTAGGTTCTTTTTTGAGAGTGGAAGTCAGTTGTACTTTATAATTAAATGCTTGACTGTAGAATATGGTGATATGATGAATCATTTAAAGACAAAAGTAGCAGTAAAACATATAATACCTGTTACAGAATCTACAGAACACTTACTAATAAATCTAAACGATGTGCAAAATATTTGTCACCTTGTAAGAGTGGGGAACTACATTTGTAAGAGACCTGATCAGGTAAAAAAAGTTTCGTAGCTACCTACCTAGATAACATATGTTATCTACCAAAGACCTTGCAATTGCAATGCATATGGGTCATTCCACGCCAAATCGGATGGTTTAAAAAAAAAATTTTTTTGATTCCTCCAATTTTTTTTTATATTTTTTAGTACTCCTTGAAAGAGCTTTCTCAGTAAATTTTGAGATTTTTTTGATCACGGGTTCAAAATTTTCAAAAAAACTGCTTTTTTTATTGTTTTTCGCTCATAACTTCTTAAAAAATGGTCCAAATCAAAATGTTCATTCTATAAAAAAATTTCGTTTTTAAATGTACTTTTCGAAAAAAAATATATTGAAAATATTTAAAGCGTTTTAAGACAAGATTTTTGAGTTTTAAAGTTTAAATCGTGTTTTTAAAAATGTGTGTCTTCTTCGAAATTTTGTTATTTTCGACTTCTATCTATTTAACAACTATTCAGCCTGGTCCGGTAGTGGGCCTTCCATAATAACTATTTTTTTTCGATTTTTCTAAATTAAAAAAAAAATCTCCAAAAATTATTAAAAGTTTCGATTTTCGACTCTGTATATTATTTTTTTACTTACATTTAATTGATTCTGATATTTTTTTATTATTGATAGGGATTCAAAATCAATTAGTTTAAGTTAATTCTATTTATGAGCAATTATATAACACATTTTTTAAAGAATAAAAACGCTTTATTATAGGAAAAAATAAAATATAACACAAAAATTCAGTATAATCGGTAGGTAAAAGGTAAAATGATAACGTCACACAACACACGACAAACAACTGATCGCTGCAAATACGTAAACTAAACAAAGAACAAACCATAGAATGCAATCTGCAATACTGTCAGCTGAAACCAAACAACGCCATCTAGTTCTCCCGTCTACACTAAAGTTGGCGGTTTATTCAAATGTGCATTGATGTTTATTTTATTTTTAAGTTGTAGAAAACTAAATTTTTGTGATAAATTTTATTTTCTCATAATAAAGCGTTTTTGTAAAGAATAAAAACGCTTTATTATAGGAAAAAATAAAATATAACACAAAAATTCAGTATAATCGGTAGGTAAAATGATAACGTTTACACGTATTTTAGGTAGACATTTATTTACAAAAGGCATGTTTATACACATACATTAAAAATAACAATTAAAAAAACAGAAAATAAAACAATTACATGACATATGTTAATTAACATAACTTATCTTATAACATAATTTATAATTAACAAAGAAAAAGATGATAAAGCAATCCAAAAAGTTTAAATATTAAAACCTTAATTTAATTATTAAAAAAGTTATTAAAAATATAAAATTAGAAAATAATTAAAAATATAAAATTAGGAAATAATTTATTTCTTAAAAATATAAAATTAGGAAATAATTTATTTCTTAATTTTTAATTTTTTTTATAAGTAGTTTTAGCCAATTGTTGAAGAGCGTCCATCTCTCGAACTATTGTCTCCTGCCATTTTAATATACTATTAATTATATTAAAATAATTAAAAATAATTGTATTGCAATTTTAGGTAGACATTTATTTACAAAAGGCATGTTTATACACATACATTAAAAATAACAATTAAAAAAACAGAAAATAAAACAATTACATGACATATGTTAATTAACATAACTTATCTTATAACATAATTTATAATTAACAAAGAAAAAGATGATAAAGCAATCCAAAAAGTTTAAATATTAAAACCTTAATTTAATTATTAAAAAAGTTATTAAAAATATAAAATTAGAAAATAATTAAAAATATAAAATTAGGAAATAATTTATTTCTTAAAAATATAAAATTAGGAAATAATTTATTTCTTAATTTTTAATTTTTTTTATAAGTAGTTTTAGCCAATTGTTGAAGAGCGTCCATCTCTCGAACTATTGTCTCCTGCCATTTTAATATACTATTAATTATATTAAAATAATTAAAAATAATTGTATTGCAATACTGATTGACAATTAAATAAAGTAAATCAGTTCTTTGTTGCTCACAATCCAAAAAACTAAAATCCAAGTTATCTTTAATATACTGGGTGGCGCAAAATGAACGTTGTGGTTTGAATTGTTTATAACTTTTTTATTTAAACAATAATTATTATAAATATTTTTTTTAAATGCAGTATAATAATGGGGAATATTTTTGGTTTAATTATGGAAAATTATATCGCGCAAGTGGTGACCATTTTCTGCTTCGCATATTCGTGCTCTTTCCAAAACATTTTCCATAACCTTTCGCAAAATTTCAGGTGTTATGGCCTCGATTTCATGCCGAATATTGTTTTTTAATTGCGGGATGGTTCTAGGCTTATTAACGTACACTCTTTGTTTCAAATATCCCCAAAGAAAACAGTCAGGAGCCGTTAAATCCGGTGAACGCGGAGGCCAATTGAAATCGCTTCTGCGCGAAATAATGCGTTCGTAAAAGAGCCATTGTGTCCCTCGCAGTATGCGCTGTGGCTCCATCCTGTTGGAACCATAATTGTGGATGGTTTTCCACAGCTGGCCTCAAAAAATTTTCCAACATCGTCCGATATTGACCACCATTGATGGAAACTGCGACACCGTCTTCGTTTTCAAAAAAATATGGGCCAATAATCCTTTCGGATGATATACCGCACCAAACAGTGCACTTAAGTGGGTGTAATTGTCGCTGATGAACTGTTCTCGGATTTTCCGTAGCCCGTATTCTGCAGTTTTGCTTGTTAACGAACCCATTTAATTGGAAATGGGCTTCATCGCTCATTATTAAATTATGAATAAAATCAGGGTTTTCTTCTGCTTTTTGGCGGAAATAAATTGCATAATTAAGCCGTTGCTGGTAGTCTGTCGGCTTTAATTCTTGCACAAGCTGTATTTTATATGGGAACATGCTTAATGTACTCAAAATTCTCTGCAGTGACCTTCGTGATAGCCCAAGTTGTGTCGAACGTCTCCTTGTTGATGTTTCTGCATTTTCCTCAATACTCTCCCGTACACGTTCAATATTATCATCCGTGTGCACCGTACGTCGTCTTCCGGCACCAGGAAGGTTCCTTAATGTCCCTTGTTGTCGAAAATTTGCAACTATACGGTTTATTGTTGGCTCTGAGGGTCCATTTCGCACATTAAAATATCGACGATAAGCACGCTGAGTCAAAACAATGGACCGTTGATTTGAAAAATAAAGTTCAATGATTTGGGCTCGTTGTTCGATTGTGTACTGTTCCATTTTAAATTTCCCAAGTGTTCTTTACAAAATACTGAAATAAAATTTAAAAAATTAAATAAAATAAAAAACTTATAGGAAATTCAAACCCCTACGTTCATTTTGCGCCACCCAGTATGATTTAATTTTGTTTGAATATCCTTTAAAATGTGATGTATTGGCTAGAATAAAATGGACGATATTTGTTATTATAATTAAGGTTTTAATAAAATTTTCAGAGCAATAATTTAGCCGCTGACCAATATCTTTTTGGATAATAAGGGGATGTATTTGTAAAGGTTTATCAGCAGGACTATGTAATAAGTTATTTGACCAAGTTGTGCATGTTCCTATATTTGGAAGAACGTGTTTGGTAACATACCCTTCCAAATAAGCTACTACATAGTCCTGCAATTGATTTGGTAAAACTTCCCCTGGCACAATATTGCTTGGGAGCGACCATTCTACATCCTTATCAATGGGCAAGTCGGTAGCAATACAATTTTTTAAAGTAGCCAATAAGCCCCAATTACCATCATTTTCGCAGTTGCTGTAGCGTGAATGGAGGCGTGAAAATTCATTTACAAGGAGACTTTTAAAGTAGGGTAAAAAAGTTGCGCAGGTTGGATTAATGTTTCTGCTACCATACTGTCGAACTTGAGAAAAGAAATTTTCCAAACAATCTTGGTTGAATGTTCTGACAGCAAATTTTGAAAACCCGAAACTATACAAATTCTTACGCAACAATTTTAAGCCCTCCAACGTTCTAATCCATTTTTTTAGGACTACCGGCGTTTCCTTATCCCCTGCTTTCCTTTTAAGGTAGGTCATTGTTCGCATAACACATATGGCTTTATTCCACATGTCTTCTTGCAGACAAGGTCCTTCAGTTGGAGTTTTACCTCTTAAAGGTTTTTTACATTTATGTCCTACAATGCCTCCATTCACACTATCAAACATATCTTCCAAAAATTTTAATAATTGGGCAGTGTCATCAGCATCTGGGGGCATTTTCTTTTGACCACAAATGCTGACGGTTCCATCACGTGCCATGAGGGACATAGCTGAGGCCACAGAAGTACTGAAAATTTGCGTACAAATAGAGACTCGCATCTTTCTGATCTTGGCTTTAATCACATGGGACTCTTTCAACTTAGGCATTATACGCAAATTTCCACTACTTGTGTCTATTAGTAAACTAAAATAGTCGCATTATTCTCGTTATTGTTCCACCTGCGTAAAAGTGGTGGGGACTAACACGGTCAACGCACGGACCATAGCACAGACAATTGAACTTTTGGAGTGTAAGTACGATTTGGATGGTCTTTATCGATATAATAGTAATAGGTAATTAGGACCGGACTTGCAAAAAAATTTATAAAAAAATCAATTTTTGGAGGCCCCTGGGGCCTGGCTAATTAACATTATTTATTGAATTTTTGTGGGCATATATCAATAACAGGTACACGGCTTTTTAGGACTACCTTATCTTAATTTTTAAAAAATGGATTTTTCGCCCACCCTAATCAACAGGCAAATTTAAACCAGCTTCATTAAATATTCATTGTTCACCGTGAAAGTTGCGGGAATATTTCTTTTTAAATATTATCTTTTTCAAACCTGTTGACCATAACCGTGCAGCAAAATTGTTTTGAGAATATTTTCTTAATGTTTGTATTGTAGGATTGGTACAACATTATTTACAGGAATGTTGTTACATTATGCTTGCCCAAATGTTACATTGTAACATTTCAAAACTCTTACAAATCAATATTGCCATAAACTTGTGTAATGTTGCATGCCCAGTGGGAAAATGCATAAATATTTATTAAAGTGAAACAAAATAAACAAATAAAGCATATTGTGATCCAAAAAAATAACTTTAATTAAAATTGCATCAAAACTAAACAACTAACAAATACTTAAAATTTTACTTAAGTGTGAAATACTTGAAAACATGGAATCAAGCATAATCCTACGTTACAGTCTTTGCACATGTATCTGGAAACCCTTCTTTTTTTAGGCCTAGGTCTGTCTGGGAACAGACAATGCACCTTCTTGTACACATATGTCCAGGTGTGCACAAACAATTTCTTATACCATTTAATAGTTTAACGCAGGCTGTCAATGCTGCTAATCATCATATACGAACGATCCACGGCACCCATTTTAGCATTGCAACCCAATCTTTCCCACTAATGACCCACCCAACCTCCGAATCCTGCTATTTCAGCAAAAACCTCTACCTCACGTATTATCCCATCCTCAAGTGTAAGGGCAAAGGGTCTCTATGACCCAACCCTTGCTCGGGCAAAAGCTCAGCAAAAACTTTTCACAGGCTACACAATCCACTACACACAGTGGTTTCTTGATATTATCGTTTGTGGCACTGTTATTTATAAGTTCTTTCAATTTTTTTACAAAATAATAAAAGGTTGTTTTTGTTTAACTGGAAAAAGGTTTTATGCAATAATATGGCTTTTATTTTTTCTGTTAAAAACGAGGTAATATACAAAAACCATTCAGGGTCCTTCAAACATCCTATGTTTTTTAAAACACCCTGTTGTGGGGTAGCTTTTCGGGTGGGTACTAATAAACTTATACTTTTGTTTAAAACATATATTTGGCACCGATGCCTTTATAATACATATTTATTGCTTCTCATAAAAAACAATCTTACGACCGACATATTCGATTCGCCTAACACGTCACTTCCGCTAGTACCAACTTAATACATAGTTCTAGGGGAAAACCTTATATTTAATGTCCCTAGATAGGTAATTGCCTACACCGTATAAGAATTCTCGTTCTTTCTTACCTATTAATAATCTTAAAATTCATCATTGGTAGAATTTTTTTTTTTTGCTTTATTGCTTTAGACTATATTCACAGGCCAGCTCGTTGCTGATTATCAGCTTCATTATATTCGTTTCTGATTTATTTATTTTATTATTTCCCCCTTCCAAAGAAAATTTCCTAATCTGCAATTAATACAAGTTAAACAAAGGACAATACAGAATGCGATTGACTAACCAAATAATTTTAAAAAATAGGATATTGGCGTAACATCTGATTAACTACGATAAGGTTTCCGTCCTACCTGATAGGGAAGTAGTTGTTGAACTGCTGAAGAAATTGAGCATCGTGTACACCTTCCCTATCACGAAGAATGACCGTGTTTAATTTGGAAAAGTAGTCTTTCATAATATCAATCTGTTATTCCAACAACTTTTTGTTTTGTTAAAACTATTTTAACAAATTTTTTTAACATAAAGTTTTCTTCTTGGACATCGATGTGATCATTTGTAATTGGCGGATTCTGATTGTTATATTGGACTTCTGTATTTTCTGTAAAAAAATATTTGAAAATAGAAGAAAAAAATAATCTTATACTTTTTATGAGCATAGTAAAATTTTCATTGCTTTCCCTCTTGGCAATATTCTCTGTCCACATATACATGTAACCTTTACCAGTGTTACCGTGGTGGATTCCTAAATTATACATAGGCTTTGCGCAGATAAATCTTTCCCAACCGTAAGTTGTGGTATCGGTAGTGCTTGTTGAAGATCAAAAGATATAACATCCAACAAATCGCTATCTTCTTTTTATCGCTGTATTTCAATTTTTAGGTTAGTCTGCCTTAGCTCGCCTTTATTGCAACTCCAACAGTGTTTTTGTTTCCTATATTTTCTCTTCATTTTTCTTGTGAGAATCAAGTGAAATGTGGTATTCGTCACATGTAGCACATCGCTTCTAGGCACCTTGAACCCAAAATTATATTTAGAACAAAATATTCTGCGGTATCTATCTTTCTTTACATGAGTAGTGTTGCGTTCACTGCAGCATGCAGTGTAATATTTCTTATATAGAGATAATATTGAAATATCGTGGTCAATATAACTTCGATGTGGATTTTTTTCGGCTGTAATGGCTGCAACATTTTGGAATATACTGAATATGGTCGTGAACTGATTGTTCCATTTCCACGGGTAACTTGTTTTTCCTGTTGTTGTTTTTATTTTTTTTGATACGATCGCTTTTTTCCAATACTCTTAATAATGCCAAAAAGGTAAGCATTTTGCTTTTTATAGGTTTTTAGGTCCCAAAATGAATTAAATATATTTCTTTCCTCTCCTTCCAGTGCCTCTCTACATTTTTTCTTACAGGCACAGGGGTCCCGCTTCACACCCTTGGGAGTAGTATACCCAAAGCCTAAATTTCTTCTTTGCTGAGCTTTGACCTTCTTGTTGTTGGTTTGTCTTTTTCTTGACTGTTTCTTTTTCAAGGGTGTTGGTACGTGACCTCTACTAAAACCCTCATCCTGCAACAAAAAAAATTGAATATTCAATAAAAATGTTTTAAGAGAAAACAGGATCAATCCACAAAATATGTGATTAAAGTTTGTTTATTTGTAGAAAACCTAAGGTAAAAATATTGTGTTTATATGTGTGTCCCAAAAAAATGTTTTGTTTCATTTACTATACAGCAAACTTTGAAACTCAAGTTTTTTTTAAAGAAAAATAGATTTTTAAAGGGAACAAGCCACATAAAATTTTACATGCCTCTTGACTTGACTTGATTGGACCTCATTGGCCACCTAAGGATATATATTATATTATCGCTACAGTGCTTTTTATGCTTTACTTACATTTGATTCCACAGGCTAATCTTCATCAAAGTGAAACACAATGGTGGATTCCTCTCCATTGTCCAGGCCATGAACAACCTTTAGATCTTTGCAGTCTAAATCTGTTTTCATAGGTTCTCCTCCGCCTGTTTGATGTGCGTGAGCTTTGCTTTTTGCTGCTTTTGCCTTGGTATTCTTTTTAATATCTTGCCACGTCTAAAAAATAAATTTAATATTTCTATGACTGTTCCTATTATGCGTTTTACCTTTCGCCATTACCGCCAGTCCTTCTTACAACCTTAAGCAACACAACTTAACTTTTGGCTGATTTCCTACCACATTGTTTATGCTTTTTTCAAAACTAAATTCGCTACTAAACTTACCGCTTTTTAACATCGGATTTGACTGCATATATTCTAGAAGCTTTTTTTTGTATTGAAATCATTGGGGCTGATCTACTTTTCTTCATTTTCAGTACAAAACAAAGGCAAACACAAACAATGATTAAAATGACAAAAATGTAGTTTAAACAATTTGTAGGCAAAACCAACCACGGAAACTTGGCAACTACGTTTGAAATCATTCTTTTATCTTTACCACATCCTAGTTAATCGAGACTACGATAAAAATGTACTCAGAGAAGAAGTCGGTGATGTGATTAGATACTTCTCCTAGGAAAGCACTCACTTCTCTTAAACTCGAGAATCGCCCCCCTGGGGGAATCGGAACTGCGTCTGAATGTGGAAGTGGTATTTGGGCCGATGAAACATCTTTATAATTGTAACCAGCTGCATTTATTCTGTTCAAACCAAACACATTATTCACACATGGGTAGCACCTATTACTTTCGTGGTAAATTGGCTCTGACCAAATCATTGGTATTCCATATGACATTTTCTCTTAACGGCCGTTCTTACAGTCAAACAATCTTAATATATATGTCCGACATGCAGTGGATGGCACCCAATCAACATTCTTGATCACTTTAATATTGAAATATTGTTCATAGATTTCTGCGATTTCAGGCGTAATTTTTCTTTACCTTATTTGGCTTAATGGTAAATTTTCCACACATGTAGCAGAACTGATTAAAATTTTTTCTAATATCTTTCTTCCATTACACGAATGTCCTGGTGAAAACGTTCCCCCTGCTCTTCGCTTAAATCCCCACAATTTTCTGGAAAATACTGTAAATGCGAACTTAAAAAATGCACTTTTATAGACAAGAGACTAAAAGCTTTGTAACAAGTCTTCGACTACTCGTTGATACTCTTGACTTCGGTGGTTTTCCAAAAAGTTTTGGACAATGGATTTAAATGCTAACCAAGCATTTTTTTCATTCCCTTCCATCAAATTCCTGGTCCTTCATCAGATTTCGGATTTGAGGACCGTCAAAAATTCCAGCTTTTAGATTGGCATCACTGGTGTTTGAAAATTTTCGACTAAGATAACTAAAAGCACGACCTTCTTTATTGAGAGCCTTGACATAATTTTTCATAATATGTAGTGGGGGAAGCAGTACTTTTTTGGGTCCACTTAAGCGTGTGCTAGAACGTTATATTATGAGCCAGGTTGTAAACCGGGCCTTAATTTTCAGTAACTTTTACATAGTGTGATTTATCGTCTCGGCTGTCCCATAGACATAGAAAACAAGGGTATTTGGTATAGCCGCCTTATAAACCAAGCAATAAAAATATAACCTGAAAATTTCGTAGGTGCATTTACACAAAGCAATTTTTAGAATTAAACATTCTTTAGGATTACATACCTTTAGATCTCCACATATTTTCCAGTTGTGGTCTCGATATTTAAGAGCGGTTATTAAACGTCCATATTATCATAACTTTCAGTCATTTGTACTGAATTACCCACTGGAACAGAAGAAACTTTGTTACCATTAAACAAGAGAACTGCCTTTAAGCTTCTGCTGCATGAATCGATGAACAACCTCCATTCGCTAGGATCATATCTTAAGCCTAAAGCCTTAATGAGACCATTGATATTTTTGCAGTAAACTATTTTATCGTTTAAAAAAAAAACTCGAAACTCTTTTTCTCGATCACGATACTGTGACGCAATTTTTCTCAAAATTGGTACACGCCGGCTTAGTACTCAGTATTAACTCAGGAGAGCAGAGTCGTGGATATGGAACTTTGGAAATTGGTACTAAAATTTTTAAAAAAATGATATATTATGGGCGCCAGATATTTTGTAAAATGTGTGAATATTATTATTAGTTAAAATATCAAATCCTAATAACAGTGATATTGATCTTAAAGAAATTTAATTTTATAAAAACAAATAAACGTGAAAATTTGTAGTGAGATGAAAATAAAAGAAATCAAATAATATTTTATACCCCATATATTTGGTGAAGTTTCCAGGGAGCTTACATACAAACTAAATTAAATTTTATAAATACCTAGACATACTTAAATGCATAAGTGCATGGCTGTAACAGTAAACAATTTATCAATATAAATAAAATTAATACTTTGGTACAAAATAAAATAAAACTGCAGTTTTACCTTGTTACAATTTGTATGTCTTAAATTAAAAATTCTTCAAAACCATATGAAGCTCCACTCTGGGCTTTAGTAAAATCCACTTAATGATAACAAAAATTCCATATAACTTAAATCCAACGATGGGTGACAAAAAGTTCCATATTTAAAAATCCAATTCATGTGTCAAAAAAATACCATAAAAAAACAGGCATGCCAGCTGAGCTCTGCTCCAGTCTGTGCTTTAGTAAAATCCACTTAAGGGTAACAAAAATTCCATTTAACTTAAATCCAACGATGGGTGACAAAAAGTTCCATATTTACAATAAAATTTAAAAATATTTAAATCATAGTAAAACTTGAAAACGTGCTCTCATATAGCGAGGCCTACAAAAAAATTACAACATGGAGTCTTAATCGCGAATTAAATTAAAAAATTGCTTAAATAATTAAACATAACAAAATCAGTTACCTTGGTTGTTGTGTGGCCTCGTAGTGGTAAAATATCACTTAATTAAAACATTGATTGATTATCATTACAGAAATTTTATTTTTAACGGTCAGACTTGACCTACACCAATCAAGTCTCGCAGCCAAAAGAAAGCCCGCGTGGCTTCATGTCGCCTTAATCATGCGCGCTGTAATTGAACATGTACCACTACAAAATTACCTTAGCAACCAATCAACAAAAAAACTATCTCAAATTAAATAATACTAAATTCAATTAAATGTAATAATAAAATTAAAAGTAATGACGTTACTTGTAAGACTCCTTGATGTAAAATACTCCGTAAAAAGTTTATTTTCAAATAAAACCCCTCAAAATAAAAATCCCTACTAGAATTATTTTTGACACAAGAATTGGACTCTTGAATAGATAAAAAAAATACTTAAAAAAATATACAATTTTAACAAACAATATTCATTATTAACAACTATAAAGGAATTACAAATACATTCATAGTGGCGAATATGTCACCAACTTTCCAAACATCCAGCGGGGTAGAGCGGGTGAAGGTCAAACCAAATGCGCTACTATTTAAAACGTTGCATACCACAAAATATCATTGGTTGCCTATATTAAAAATATGAAGAAAACATTAATTTGCTTTTAATAATTGTAACGGCCAATTGGCACGTTACAATACCAGTAAAATGTTGTTTCCTTGTGACAGGTTTACCCTGTGCCAGGTAGCTTTCTAATAAACCAAAATGTATTCGGGGAGTATGCCCTACTCAGCGGTGAGCTGGGGTGAGTTTTAGTTTCAAATACCTGGACGCCACGTGATTTTACTCCCAGAATACGTTCTGCTTTATCAACTGTTTGGGCCTTAAAGAAAAATCACGAAAAACAGTTAATCTTGGTTTATTAAATTCGCAAGGTTTCCTCGTAGAGGTTACGATACAACTAACCTACCCGTTTGTGATCACGTAGGGTTTACAAAACAAATATCATTAGATCAAGTTAAATGGTACAGGGCCTGAGGGACCCCTCTCCAAAAGAAGTAGAACAAAGTTACAATGTTTTACGTTAAAAGATTTAATGCCTGAGGGGCATTTGGTTCAAGGAACCAAGTGTTGGTGTTTACAAAATCAACCGATTAAAATATGAAATAAAAGTGTACTCATCTACGTCCCAGTGCACTGTAGTAAGGTTCCAAACATACAGGAGAGTTCACATCCAGTAGTATCCTCCAGGATCAGGAACCCGGTGGCGAGCCTCTCATCGATAGAATAATGTAGGCAGTACAGGATACTTTCTCATCGATAGAATAATGTAGGCCGTTCAGGATACCTTCTCACTGATAGAATAATGTAGGTAGTACTCTAAATAATAACCTCTGGAAAAGGAACCCTTGAAAAAGGAACCCCTGGAAAAGGACAAGACAACGTGCGGTAGGCACTGCGAAATTTACAAAGTCAATAACTTACGCTGGATTTTGACTCAGCTTTAACGAATTGAGAACAAAATCGTTGTTGGGTGCGGTCGTTGTATGCAAATGGATGGAAGCTAAAATTAATTGCGATTAGACACAAAAGAGCAAGGTGTCAAGATGGCTTACCCTGGTCGTGGTACAAGAATCCGGAATCATCCGTGAGTACAAGGATTTCAACACAACAATACTACTCTATTTCCTTACGTACTCCCTTGCTGCACATGCATTTGAATCCCAAACACACCTGGAAGGCAATTACACAGCCTTATTAGAAAAATTCAATGCCAGCTATAACACGACCAGCACCCATCAATTTACCGGCTCTTTTGCCGGGCAATTTGCATACAACCGCGCAAGTCATTGACTTAAACTCCTACTTTTTGCTCCTAGATGGCGCTCTCAAAACAAAACCCAGTCAGATGCTTCGAAACCTAATCCTACTAATTAAACAAACAACCATAGGTCTTAGACAAACTTACTTTACCCTCTTTATAAACTAAAAACCAAAATAAACGTAAATAATTTACAATAATTCCTCCATTCGTATTTCTCAAAACTTAAACTACCGACCACTAGATGGCTTCGGGCAAGATGGCAAGTTGCCGATAATAATGACGTCTTGTAAATGTTTTGACAGAATACAAACAAGAAATTATTCAAATAAACAGGAAATTAATTAAATAAACGTTTCACTGCGACAGAGTAAGTTATACCAAATAAGCCCATTATACACTAATAATGTTAAGTTCATTTCAGGCTGACTAACAACCACAAAACTTAAAAATAAAACAGGAAATTAATTAAATAAACGTTTCAACGCGACAGAGTAAGTTATACCAAATAAGCCCATTATACACTAATAATGTTAAGTTCCTTTCAGGCTGACTAAAAACCACAAAACTTAAAAATACCCCCTTAGTTCGAATAAGCACTCGAAACATCTGACTAAAATTGATTTACCAACCATCTTAACAAATCCAAGATCAACTGCTGTTTAATTTAACAAAAAGAAATTCTTAAAAGCTAAAAATGCAAAACAACACGTCACATCCTGAGCTAGTAAGTTATTTTCACGAAGACGAGATCCTAGCCATTGAGCGGACTCCTTGGACAGACATAAGTCTCTCATGAGATCATTTAATCGACCTTGCGTTAAGGCTTTCGGTTGATTTATTCCAACGGTGCCCTCAAAATCAATATCATATTCTGTCTACTCATCAACAGATTCTGAAGACAAGTCTGTGTTTGTATCTGGTGGTTCTGGAATTGGAACTTCTGGACCATGAATAACAGGCTTTGATGCAGATGGCACATCGGGATGCTTGACATGTTGGCGATTGTTTCTATTTATTCCTAAAAAGTAAATTTTAAGAATATTTATATAGAAAAATAAATGACATTTTATGAATTCTTACCTTTTAAATTAGTCATATAAAAATAACAGTCAGTAATA